TTTAACATTTAACATTATTAATTCTCATTTAAACTTATATTTAACTTATGTTAAATACATTACTACGATATTGAAAGGTAAATCGCGGATTAAAATCGAACCAAACTGCAAATTATGGTTTGGTTTGGTTCGAAAAATAAAATGATTTGGTTTGATTTGGAAAAATTTCAAACCGTATAAAATGGTTTGAGTTGAAAATATAGTACAAGCTGCCAAAATCGAACCGTGTTCACCCCTAGTCCATGACCATAGCACCAAAAAGAAAAACTAGTGCTCTAACATTCACAACAAGCAAGTTATTCACAAAATTTAAAAATATAATCTTCACATTCAACTCTATCAAAGAATACAAGTAAAATAATTTATATAATTTTGTATATTTCTTATTCAAGTATAAAATATACATATATATTTTCTAGATGACACAATACTAATATGTAATTGTAAAAATAATTTACAATTATTTTCTTATATCATGGAAATATTTATAGATATTGCTTCAAAAACTTTACAAAAAATTAAAATTCATACACTAATAAAGATACGATAAATGTAGAATTCATGCAACGGAAGTGATAGTCACTGTGCGGAAATATTTTTTTTTCTTTTTTTACTTCACACTTTGTGAGGACAGTATCCGCACAAAATGTCATCTCTCCGCACTGTGCGGAGATATTTTTTTTTACTTCGTCGCACTATACGGAGAGTTCCAACTCTCCGCACATGGTTTGCCATCTCTCTGCACTGTGCGGAGAGATTTTTTTTTACTTCGTCGCACTATACGGAGAGTTCCAACTCTTCGCACATGGTTTGCCATCTTTCCGCACTATGCGGAGAGTTTTTTCTTCATTTTTTACTCCGCACATGGTTTGCCATATCTCCGCACTGCGCGAAGAGTTTATTTTTTTTTAAAACTCATGTGCGAAGAGTTTTTTTTGCTCATTGTAGTTTATATTTACTAAAATTATTATTATTTTTTTAGTACTAGTGGCATGATGTGTGGAAGAACATTTGTTTAACATAATTATTTTTTTAATGCTAGTGGGATGATGTGTGAAAGAACATTTGTTTGACATAAACAAAATGAAAAATAAAAAATGACATCATGCATAATAAAATTGGATTCATTTACTATTGCATGAATAGTAGACCCTCATTCCCCTTTTTATTAGAAGTTAGAAACTAAAATTATTTTAAAATCATAAATAAAAAAACATATATTTTCAACAATCCAAATCTTACTCAACAAAACTACGTTAGCAATTCACACCTAAAGTTTTAGAAGCCCTAACATAAACTCTTATTTCCCTAACATTTGATGTTTGTTTGTCACTGCTGAACGAATCGTCAATCGCCTTTGCCTGTTGGTCTACTAGTCTCTACTTAAATTGCCTCTTTCTCTCTTCTTTTTCAGTAAGTCTTAGGTTCTTATTCAAGCCATTTTTTCATTGTTTTTTTTTTTTTGAGCTTATTATATACTTGTGAGTTGTGGTTTGAATAGAAAAATGGTTGTTCGTGTGCCTAGATGATTAATGAACTTGTTTGTGATTTGAAAAGAATGAAGGACAAGATGTATTGATTGTGTGTAAATGTTAAAGTTTTCTAATTAGTACTACTACTTTTTTACTTATATAAAGTAGTTAAAGGATGAAATTTGTCAATTCCCAATAAGTCGAAATTCTATCAATCTCTGTACATCTAAACATATCATGTTCAATCCTTATTTAATATCTCACTAGTAAGACGAAATGAGTTTTAGCCAAACTATAATAATAGAAAATAACTCTATATTTACCAACAGCTATATAACAATATAAATGTCAAAGAAAAAAGGTAAATAAAAATGAAGAAAGATGTATTTATCCTATTAACATCTTTTAGCAATCAACTTTGAAAATATGAATGTAATTTAACATTTAACATTATTAATTTTCATTTAAACTTATATTAAATACATGACTATGATATTGAAAGGTAAATCGCGGATTAAAATCGAACCAAACCGCAAATTATGCTTTGGTTTGGTTTGAAAAAATTTCAAACCGCATAAAATGGTTTGAGTTAAAAATATAGCACAAGTCGCCCAAACTGAACCGTGTTCACCCCTAATCCATGACTATAGCACCAAAAAGAAAAACTAGTGCTCTAACATTCACAACAGGCAAGTTATTCACGATTCAAGAAAAAATATTTTGCATTTTAATGAAAGTACATAATGCGCTTATATTATACATTTTTAAATTGCCCATAACACGATGTTCAAAAAATATTAGTGTTCCAAAAATTTGATAAATGCATATCATGTGTTATAAGTACGTTTATACTAAACCACGAAATGAAGATGTTACACATAATATTCACATTTGGTGATTACAGTTGTCTCATGCATTTCTTGTTCTTTGTTGGTCGGAACATTTAAAACATCAAATTATAATTCAACAAAAAGAGAACGGGTGTCTAATCAAGAGTTATGTGCATATTATATGACATCTAGCCAAGACATAGAGAAATGTGGATAAGATTATTTTTCTGCACTCGGTTCGTGTAACATTTACCCTACTAGAATATATATATATATATATATATATATATATATATATATATATATAAGACGAGAGAAACATGGTACAAATAAACATATAATAAACATGATATTTTTTTTTTAATGTTTTATGAAGACTGATTCATGACTCTATGTCCTGAAGATATGTATTTGTGTATTACATGCTTGTTACAAAAAAAACATAAACCACGAAAAAAAAAATGTTTCTATTTTTTTAAGTCGTATTTTTTGCAGCAAACTTAATTGATCTTAGATCTTGATCAAATTACGTATATAACATGACAATTGCTACGTGATTTAGAACCCATTATGAACATCACACATTAGTTGACTATTACTTTTGTATTACATAATACAAAAATTTAATTGATGCATTCTTTTTGCATTTTATTTTTTTATTTTTCTGTATATTAGGTTGTGTACTTGTTATGTTGTCATAATCTTTTGTAAATATTTTACCCATTTTGTTTGATATGCTCCTCTTTTGTTTATTTGAGACATGAATCTTTGCGCTTCAGCTCCATGAATAATTTTAAAGAGCTGTCTTTTGTTATCCTGATTTGTGCCATTTTTACATCAGCAATGTACTCAATCCTAAGACATGATGTCCTCTTGTCAAACTTTAATTCATTCATTATCATCTCTAGAAGGTCCATTATTTGCAAGAATATGGAACAAGAAGACCAATCTGCCCCATTCATTACAAAAACATTTACTGAATCTATTTCTGTATGACAAACAAACATTATGATATTAAAATATTAACAGTGTTAATTCACAGTTCAAGGTTTTGTCAACCGCAGATGCATATGACAGTGTTATGTGTTATTACATAGTAGGTTCATGAAACCTAAAAATTATATTTATCAATGGAAGACAGACTCATCAACGAGTAACATATGTAGGGGTTAAAGATTGGAACAAAATTCTTGTGGTAGCATCAAATTAAAATCCATTAATATGTATACTGTCATATTTAGTTTGATAATTAAGAGTGTTCACATAGTTGCATAATAAACAAATATTAGTGTAATATTCAAAAAAATAGGACACTGGTGTCATAAAATTACATTGCACGAATGGATGAAATATTTTTCAAGAATACGAAAACTGAAGTACATGATCTGGATTGGTAATGTTTTAGGTGCTCAAGGATGCGTACTACATTTGAAGGAATATCGTCAATACTAGTACATAGTATGTATGTGATATTACAATGCATCGGCCAGAGTGCAATCAACAAAAAATGTACAAAATTATGAAAATTGAATCATAATTTTTTTTAATCGAAAATATCCACACATCTTTAGTGAGTTTTTTATGCTCAACTAAGGAATATCGATAGGGGTTAGGATTCCCCAACCACGTACACTAGCAAATTTAACTGATAATTCTCATTGTCAAGATCACATAGTTGAATAACAAACATATATATTACTATAATATTTAAAATAATTTGAAATTTATTTCTCAAAATTACGTTGCACAAACCGACAAAGAATAATTTTTTCTTCAAGAACCGAACACCTCAAATATAGTGTTCTGGATTTGCTAATATTTAAGTACCAAAAGATGCATTGTACATATGAAGGAATATCATCAATTTGAATACATAATATGTATGTAATAGTTCATTATTTCAACTAAATTTGCAAGGATGATGCTAAACGTACGTTACGATGTTCATAACGGTGTTCATCCTACTTCGGATCAGGGGGACACCGTTATGGACACCTCATTTATGTACAAGTAGTATATTTTAATTTGTAATATTTAAAAAACCCAAGTAATTATGAAAATTGATTTAGAAGCTTACTCACAAACACGTTTAGAAGATGAAATTTGATCAACAGATATAGGAGATGAGGATTCTTGAATCAGACAGAGTTCAAAAAGGTCAAATCTTTGAGCAAAACAAGACATAAATTGTCCAGTTATCACCAAAATTGGTGAATATGAGTATGATACCCATCGTTAATTTCAAAATTTTCTGATTTTGGAATAGATGTTAAATGCAAACATAATGTATGCTTATTTCATAAATTTTACTTACTAGTGAATTGAGGTCTAATTTTAGAAGGTAGTATATATAAATATAATTTAGATAATACAAATTATTTTAAATCTATATAGTATTCTTTGCAATATTTTCTGTGACAAGGCAAATACGAATTTTTCCTTGAGTCTGTTTGGGAGTGATTTTGAGAATTAATTTTTTGACCGTTAAAAGAAAAGTGAAATTCACCTGTAAGAGAAGAAGTCAAATATGATGGCTACAATAGTAAAATAACGGTCAAAAAATCAATATATTGGACCAAAAAATCACTACCAAACAAGCTGCTTGTATCGCTTATCCTTATTTATTTATTTATTTTATATATTCCCATCCAGAGATGGCCCGGAACTGTAAGCTAAAGCGGACCGGTAGAACATTGAACCGCAAAAAGATAGGAATAAATATAAATTAATAAATCAGAAACCCTACTTAAACCCTGGACTTCTTTCTTCTCCCCCAAGCCAATTATGCAGTAGAGTGTAAAAGGATCCACAATTGGTACATTCCCATTTGGTTATTCATCCATCGAGAGCTTTAGCGTAGTTAATTTGAAAGATTTAGAAAATGGCGAAAAAGTGTGCATCAGGGGTTATGGCAGCCCTGGCTTCTGCAACTTTTGGGGCTGATTATGCTTGTGCAGATGCACCTATTAACTTTTCTCCGTTCTCGACTTCTTCTTCGGCTCCGCAGGCGGCTACTGAGCCGGCGAAGCCACCAAGTGAGCCAGCGGCTCCCGAGCCAACAAAGCCTCGTAATGATAATCCCAGAACCACCTCATCTGGCTTCGACCCTGAGGCGTTGGAGAGGGGTGCCAAAGCTTTGAGAGAGATTAGTCACTCTTCCCATGCCAAGAAGGTTTGATATTGGTTTTTAAGTTAATATGTTTACTGGGGTCCTGTGAAATGCTAACGTCTGCGTGAAAGATTCTAGCTTTGACGTATTTTGGGCTTTTCTGTCCATTGGTTAATCGGTTATTGCATTCTTGGATGATTACATGTGATTCTTTTTATTATTATTATTATGGTAAAAAGATTTCACAATGTCAGGTGGATAAATGAAAATGGTACAATTATTTGAAGGGAACGCGTTCTCTTTTTTGTGTTTATATGCATGTCCAATTCCGTAGTCTGCTTTTTTGGTGTATGGAAATGTTGACTGTTTGGACACGGGCTAACCCGAGGAGGAATTTTGTTGTAGGTTTTCGAGGTGATGAAAAAGCAAGAAGAAACAAGGCTGCAAGAATTAACTGCAAAAGCAGCAGAGTTCAAGGCAATGCAAGCTGAAGCAGAAACTGTAAGTTCGACATTTTTTTTTTTAAAATTGTTTTCAACAGGTTTGTGCTTGTATGCAAATACATATCATTTTCTCTCACATTTAGTGATAACAGTAATGTCTGTATAAATGTTCATTTGCTTCTATGATTGCTTACTTTTAGTCGAAGATGAACCTCTCTTACTATTCAGCTCTATCCATTCCCATGAGCCAAGATATCTAATGGCTCATTTTTGTCTTTTCTTTTATTATAAATGCTGAACAATTAAGTCAAGAATCAAAAGGGACCTTTAGTCTGTATCAGTCATTTTCATTGTTGGCTGACCTGTAAGCTAGTAATTAAACTATTTCAAGTAAGTAGCATTCTCATACCATGTTGACTGTTATCCGGTTTATCATGTGTTTTACAATCAATGCTTGATTAATTACTCTCCTATCCCCAGTTGATGCTCGAATAAACTTTCATCTTTGGGGTGCATGTAAAATGGACATATGCCCTTAATAGCATGCATGATGTAGTTCAATAACGATGAATTATGCAACTAAGGTTAATCCTAAATATTTTAAGTTTTAGAGTATTTCGTGCATGTAAAGTGTTCCTTATTTTGGTTTATTTTGTTTGTTAGGAGAGACAAAGGGTAGTATACGATGAGCAGAAAAAACTAGCTCAGCAACAGGCACAAATAAAATCACAGATGGCTCGTTATGAGGATGAATTAGCGAGGAAAAGGATGCAGGTATCTTCTTTTTTGTTCACAAGGAAGGCTTACAGAAGTTCCTGTTATTAGAGGCAATAATATTCTGAAACTTTGCAGGCAGAGAATGAACATCAAAGGGCAAGGAATCAAGAACTTGTAAAAATGCAAGAAGAATCAGCTATGAAGCAAGAGGCAGCCAGACGAGCAACGGAGGAGCAAATTCAAGCACAGCGTCGCCAAACTGAACGCGAGAAGGCTGAGATAGAGCGTGAAACTATCAGGGTACAGGCTTTGGCAGAAGCAGAAGGAAGGGCACATGAAGCAAAACTGGCTGAGGATGTAAACAGACGAATGCTAGTAGAGCGTGCAAATGCAGAGAGAGAGAAATGGGTTGCTGCTATTAACACAACGTTTGATCATATTGGAGGTTTTTCTCTAATTATTATTAATCTTTTGATAATCAGATTAATTCATTGTTTGTAACATCAACAGATGCGGTAGTTGACAGAAATATAGGTTAATACAGTCTTTTTCGTTTATAACATTGATTGTTGTTGATATGCCCGATCTGACTAATATATCAACTGTGAAAGTCATCGTGAACTTATGAAGTATGTTATAATTAGGTTGACAACAGGGGCTTTACTTTCTAGTTCATATACTTGAGATAAAGTGTATCTTTAGAACAAAGTCATGTTTTTTTTTTTTTTTTGCTTGGTTAAAATAAATAGTTTATTATACCATTCAAAATGGACTTGTGCAGTGGACCTTAAATTCAGAAGGAATAAGGCTTATGAAATATGTTGTACTTAGGTTGAGAACAGGGGCTTTACTTTCTAGTTCATATACTTGAGATAAAGTGTATCTTTAGAACAAAGTCATGTTTTTTTTTTCCTCCCTTTTTTGCTTGTTTAAAATAAATAGTTTATTATACCATTCAAAATGGACTTGTGCAGTGGACCTTAAATTCAGAAGGAATAAGGCTTATGAAATATGTTGTAATTAGGTTGAGAACAGGGGCTTTACTTTCTAGTTCATATACTTGAGATAAAGTGTATCTTTAGAACAAAGTCATGTATTTTTTTTCCCCCTCCCTTTTTTGCTTGTTTAAAATAAATAGTTTATTATACCATTCAAAATGGACTCATGCAGCGGACCTTAGATTCAGAAGGGATAAGGCTTATGAAATATGTTGTAATTAGGTTGACAACAGGGGCTTTACTTTCTAGTTCATATACTTGAGATAAAGTGTATCTTTAGAAGAAAGTCATTTTTTCATTTTTTTATTTTTTTTTTCCCTTTTTTGCTTGTTTAAAATAAATAGTTTATTATACCATTCAAAATGGACTTGTGCAGTGGACCTTAAATTCAGAAGGAATAAGGCTTATGAAATATGTTGTAATTAGGTTGAGAACAGGGGCTTTACTTTCTAGTTCATATACTTGAGATAAAGTGTATTTTTAGAACAAAGTCATGTATTTTTTTATTTTTTTTTCCCCTCCCTTTTTGGCTTGTTTAAAATAAATAGTTTATTATACCATTCAAAATGGACTCATGCAGCGGACCTTAGATTCAGAAGGAATAAGGCTTATGAAATATGTTGTAATTAGGTTGACAACAGGGGCTTTACTTTCTAGTTCATATACTTGAGATAAAGTGTATCTTTAGAAGAAAGTCATTTTTTCATTTTTTTTCCCTTTTTTGCTTGTTTAAAATAAATAATTTAAATTCAGAAGGAATAAGGCTTAAGCCCCATTTTTTCAAGAATGCATTTTTTAAAACTCATTTTCAACCACACATTCTTCTATAAAATAATTATACATGTATTTCAAAAACTTTTTTTTTTTTTAAACTTTTTAACCAGACAATCTCCAAAATCCACTATTCCATAATGCATTTTATCCCAAAAAGGGGAATCAAACAGGGCCTTAGCCGGTAGTTTGTAGTTTTTACTTGTTTGGTTATATGTATCTCAAGTGCCTTGACTTATTAAGTAAAAATGTTGTCTCCTTGTCGATGCTCAAACCATGCCATTTTTCAATCTAGTCGCTTTATGGCCTAGAGAGCTCAAGAAGTATGTATATTTGGGCTTTATCTACTCAGCTTTCCCCCTTTTGTTTTCGAGTATACTCATTAAGTTTTTGTTTGGATAAAATTATAAGTTGTTGAAATTATAATGTGATAGAAATGAGTAATTGATAAGTAGGTATTAGTTGTGGGTCTTACGAAATGTGTTCTTAAAATTAATTTTTGACTTTGACTATTAAATAAATGGAAAATATAATGTTCCCCAAACATGCATTAATCTTTTGGAATCAACCATCTTATTGGTAGAAGTAGGATAGATGCCTGTAAATACTCTGAGAAAGACATGCTTTATTGCTGGCATTATTTGAACTTCTTGTTGGGATTAAATTCTGTCTTATGGTGACTGATCTGTTGAATGCAGGGGGTTTGCGGGCAATTTTAACAGATCAAAATAAGCTGATTGTAGCTGTTGGAGGTGTGACTGCTCTTGCAGCAGGGGTCTACACAACAAGGTACTGCAATCCTTGTAAAGAATGTGATTCCTCTCTCTCGTCAAAGCATGGGCATTATAATACTCAATTCAGAGCCTAATGTCGCACATCTTGATTTTGGCTCTGTACTATAAATTTTGAATATTTCTCTGGATCGATGATCACTCTTATCCTTCTTGAATGTAGCTGTATATCGTACACAGGATGTAAGCCCTTCTCTTGTCAATGTTGGGGTATTAGCATATTCAACTCAAAATCCTAATGTTTAGCATGTGGGTTTTGCCTTGTGAATGTCAATCTAAAATGATTCTGTGTTTGTTGATCAACCATATCCCTGCTTGAGTCTAGCTCTTTATATGGTACCTATTTGTAGAGGTCTAAAATCTTTCAGTTGATGAATTAGGATATAGATGTTTTGACAAGTTATATATATCATTTTATGGATATTTTACTCAAGGTGATTAGTTGACAGATTATTATCACTACATTCGTTCATTTTGTATACCCATTCCACTTCCTTTAGTGCCACTCCGTTGCACTCTTGGACTGTTCTTGCATCCCCTGTGCACAACCTCTTGAATCAAAATCAAGGACAGCATTCCTGCCAAAGAAAAAAAGAATGGCTGGTTGACCTGGAAATATTTCCGAGAAAGGTTGAGCACAATTGAAATGGCTATACATAAAAATCTATTTATGGATCTATACTTTGGTTGGACTACTGACGTTCACCTGCGTGTGGAGAATTTTCTGGATATGAGTTTGAATCGTTAAGGAACACAGTCAATTGGAAAGTGATTGCTTTGTGATGCAAGAAGGATGCATATCTAAGAACTAGTCCTTAGAACCTTGTGAATGACTTCATAATCTAACAAATTATTTTTTTATGTTAAATGTTATGGTATTTTATTCTAATTTGCATACGGTATGCCGATTTTGAAGAGTGTTGGAACTAGATAGTAGGTCTCTCTCCTCTTAGTCACCAGCTACAGTCAATGCGACAAATCCGATGTGTAACATGCTTCTCTCCTCTGACATCTAGCATAATTGAACTGTTTCTTCTACTATACATGCCTTAATTGTAAAATGCTGCTGGTCGTTGCAACCACATTTTGCATTTCTGGTTTGTTATGTTACTGTTTTCTAGTTTGCGTCAAGCTCTGCTACTGTTTTCACTTATTTAGTTTGTTACTTAGCTTCCTAAAGAGAGGTGATCACTCATTGGATTTTCCACTTGAAAGTTGCAGGAGTAGTATTATTTTGTAATTTACCATCTTTTCGATGAATTTTTACCATAAGCATTTTAACTATTACAATTTTAACTATTACAAAACAATAATGTTTGAATTTCCAGTAAACACTTCATTGTTTTGCATATTGTCCATGTCCAATGATTATCAGATTGCTGAAAATGTACTTGAGCCTTACATTATATGTTGCTAAATAATCTATACGGCAGTTGCAAACTATATTCATGACATGCTAGTGGTTATTACAAGTTCAGTCTCTGCACTTCTTATTTGCACTTATAAGTTCACTTTCTGAATTTCAGAGAAGGTGCTAGGGTGATTTGGAGTTATGTGGACCGAATATTAGGACAACCATCTTTGATTAGGGAATCTTCAAGGGGGAAATACCCATGGTCGGGCTTGTTTTCACGTTCCATGAGCACTCTCTCACGTGGTGCTAATAGTTCTGGCTCCCAAAATTTGAATGGGTTCGGTGATGTTATTTTACACCCCTCCCTTCAAAAACGGATTGAACAATTAGCTAATGCTACCGCTAATACCAAAGCTCATCAGGCACCATTTAGAAATATGCTTTTCTATGGGCCTCCTGGAACAGGGAAAACGATGGCTGCTAGGGAGCTTGCACGCAAATCTGTATGCAATCATAATTCTACCTCTGTAAAATCTTTTGTTGATCTATATGGGTTTCATTTTATTGGCTTGCTCATAGTTTACTACTGAAGTTGATTGTAAATTCAAACAGTGTTGGACCTATTGCCACATGAATTCTATTAAAATTGCACCTTGATTTGGACTCCCTAATTTTTCCCTTGTTTGCCTCTTGTTTATCATCTCAAATCACTTTTTTCCACATATTTCATAAGATCCACAGGTTCTATCCACTTATCCACTACTTATTTGTATCTATTTATATTTTAAACTGATTATAAGCAACTCCCAAACGTGCCTTTAGTGTATTTAAATTTTTGGTAATGATTGACTCCACAGTTCAAGATAAACTTTGAAAGAGCTTATATATCCTTTGTGTTCTGAGAATGCTGTAATGATTTGATTCGTATTTTGTATCATTAGCTAAACTTGGCAATCCCGCTTTAGAAATCTACGTAGACGTGCAACTTGTTCTTGCTAGGGCGATAGCTCTTCAATGTTAACCATTTGAGCTAGGGCCCATTGCTGCTATCAAATATGATGTTCACCGTGGGGGAACTGGAGTTGTACTTTTGGTGGGATGAGGAGCTCAGATAAATTATTTCATGCTTCAAAACAATTTGGAGGATAAATGGCCAATTAGATAAAACAATTTTTCTTTGCTTTTTACGCATTTTCCTCCATTGTAAATTACATAAAAGACAAGACCTTCCCATTTTTCATTTAATAGAGTTAAAATGGTTTAAAGTTTTTCCCCTTGATGGGAACTTGCTGAAATAGGAATGAATACGAGTGATGTTGAGTTTCTACAAAGAATCCAGTCGGTTCTATATATGCCTCTTTAATATCTATTTACCTGATTCTTGTAGGGGCTTGACTATGCGTTGATGACTGGAGGAGATGTAGCACCGCTGGGTTCTCAGGCTGTCACGAAGATACATCAATTGTTTGATTGGGCCAAAAAGTCCAAAAGGGGTTTGTTGCTTTTCATTGATGAAGCAGATGCATTTTTATGCGAGTAAGTAACATTTCCCCGAATAAACTTTTGCATCTTTTACTTGGGTTAATGATGGATGGGTAGATTAATTGGGTTAGGACTGATTAACTTTTGCATATACATCTTGTGAAGCTTTCATCTCTTAGTGACAATTAATGTTATCATAAAACAAAATGAACTTTCTTAATTTTTCATTAAGTTTTGATTAACATCTGTCTTCCATAAATTTCATAGCATCCGTTGGTGTTGGCCACATTATTTACCTTCATAATGACGAAAATGTATTAGATACCACATGCATCTCTCCCATGAGAAACAGGATAGAAACGAAACTAAAAATGTGGAGTTTGGAATTTGCTGAACATGCATGCTTTTGAATGCAAGCTCAGTATGCCCTTCATATCTGTTTTGTCATCAACTGTGTCCAAGCTAAGCGAGCCTTTTCATGGTTTTCCTTTCATACTTGTCCAAATTATGTTATCAGCGACCCTTCTCATTTTGCATCGAGCTGACATTGGAATGGTCTGTGAAATTCAGGCGGAATAAAACATATATGAGTGAAGCTCAAAGGAGTGCACTTAATGCACTCTTATTTCGCACGGGTGACCAGTCCAAAGATATAGTCCTTGCTCTTGCAACAAACCGACCTGGGGATCTTGATTCAGCTGTGGCTGATCGTATTGATGAAGTCCTAGAATTTCCTTTGCCTGGTGAAGATGAACGATTTAAGCTGTTGAAGCTCTATCTTAACAAGTACATGGCTCAAGCTGGGGAAAGAAAACCTGGCTTGTTCTCACACTTGTTTAAGAAACAGCAGAAACAGATAGAAATAAAGGGTTTAAATGATGATATTCTTAAGGAAGCTGCAACAAAGACGGAGGGATTCTCAGGAAGAGAGATAGCAAAGTTGATGGCCAGTGTTCAAGCAGCTGTTTACGGGAGTGAGAACTGCGTATTAGATCCCAACCTGTTTCGCGAAGTGGTAGATTATAAAGTTGCAGAGCATCAACAAAGAAGGAAACTCGCTGGTCAATGAAGACCTGGAGTTATTTTTTGCCGGACTGCTTACAAGTTGATCTTTTTGAGTAAAATGTAAGATTACTTCTCTCATTTATCGGGGTTTGGACATCTGTGTAGCTGAAAATCCAAACCAATGATGACGATTTTATTACAGGAGATATAAATTAGTCTCTTGGTTTTGGCATGCATGTTATTGACAGAATACATGTAAAAACAGTAGCAGGAACCCTCTTCCCCATAAATATTTTACATTTTTGTCATTCTTTTCAACGTTTTTGATACCTTCCTGCGGGCTAAGACAAGGGTGTCCTCTTTCTCCATATTTGTTTATGGGGTTATTTATGTTGCTGTATAAGGCTGAGAATGAGCAGAGTATTAAGGGTTTCAGCTGAACTAAAAATGGTTAATGGGTTAGTTATTGTCGAGCCACTTTGGAAGGCTGTACTGGTCTAAATATTTCACATATGAATCGCGTCTGGATAGAAACCAATATGGCAAAGTCAGTTACGCCCAAATACAATGGAGGCATCTCAAATGGCTGGCTATTCTTGAGTTCTTTCAGTTGGAAAGAGTTAGCCCACGAGAATTGTTGTCGAATTAAAAAACAGATAATGTGAAGGTAAAAATTAAGTGTGGGAAAAATTGCAACTGTGGAGACGAAACCTTTGCTTTATTGAGAGAGGGAATCTTAACCAAGGCCAAGCCCAGACCATTCCAGCCTTTACAATCACCTGATGGGTTGTGTGATGAAAAGAGACTGATGGGTCAGAATGATGACAAAGGATGGATTTTGGAGCTCTGAGACAGTCAACGAACTTTTCTTTCCGCTAAATAGGGATCTCATTCTTTCTATTGCGTGTGAATTTCCTAATGCTGGAGATTCAGCGACGTGGAGGAAAATATTTCATTAAATCAGGTCACTGATTGGCCTTGTCCCTTAAAAACGCAGTCAGGAATTTTCTGTGGTGTTTGAACTTGCCGAGCAAAATTTAAATTTTTATGTGGAAGTCGATTATGAATGTTCTCCCAACCAGATGTAACATGTTGATGTTATGTTAGCACAACCTGTGATATATGTAATGAGGAGTTGAAGATGCTGAATGCACTTGTTGGTTGTTGACAGGTTCAGTCAGAACAAAGACACAAACAAATAGATTTAAATAGATAATACTTCTTTTGGGTAGGAAGGAAACCACATACAAACCAAATAATAATTTTGGAGCATGTTCCCATGTGGACATGATGAGGTGTCTTTGCTGGTCATTATGCGTCTATCATTCCTCTCCCCATCAACAAGAACCTTGTCCTCAAGGTTCAAGACGAGATCTTCCACTTGTGGCCATCCAAAAACGCAATGGGATATGCTCTCGAAATCTCCCCTTGGTACTGAGATTGTGAGAATGGTTCATCAAGTCCTTCATACTTAGCTGGCCCAAATCGAATGACAATCTCTTTTGCACAAAGTTCCCATGGGATAATATATCCGTTTTTTTTTTTTGATCGGTAAATGTAAATATCATTGATCAAAAATGTTCCATATACAAGTAAACCGGGCATACCCGAGCAAATCAAAAGTCAATAACACATGCAATTACTCCGGGCATACCCGGGAGCGAGCAAATGAAAAGAGATGTGCCAACAAAGGTTTAAAGCCCTGCAAGTAAAGATTCGAAGTGAATCAAAACATACGGATACAAAGTAAACATCGCTTTGTATATGTATGTTTTAATTCGTCTAACAATGGATTCAACTTGCGGCTTGATACCTTCAAAAATACATTTATTCCTTTCCATCCAAATGTAGTACACGGTTGTTGCAAGTGCAATACGTTTTGCTCTACTAGGCCAACTCTTACCTCGAGCTTCCTTTTTCATCCATTTTAATGAGCTCAACAAGGTGGACATGCTACGCCGAATAGCCAACCAACCCCGGATATGATCCCAAACTTCTCTACAAAATCGGCATGAAAAGAATAGGTGCTGGGTAGATTCATCCGTGAGTGCATAGAATGGGCACTTTCGGTCGATCTAGAGATACCATAATCTGTCCTTTGTCTGTAGTTTACCCCGAACAGCTAACCATAGGATGAAGGCATGTTTAGGTATGATGGAACTGTCCCAAACAGAGGTAGCCCATGCAGTTTTAACTCCCTTCGGTCTGAAGAACTCATAGGCAGTTTTTGTGCGAAAAATCCCAGATTCTGTCCAACTGAATAATCTGTCCATTCCAGTTTGAAGTTCATTTTGGGGTTCAACAATACTGTCTCTTATTTCCAGAAGCCTTTTAAGTAGTGGAGAATCACCTTTTCTCACTTTATACTTCCAAATGTCCGAGCCTCGAAGATGTACTTCATTTATCCATTTAATCCATAAAGAATCCTTTTTGCTATGAATGTTCCAAAGAGTTTTAGAAAGGAGTGCGGCATTCCAACTTTTGATATCTCTAAAACCAAGCCCACCCTCTTGAACCAACGGTTTTTTGGATCCCCATAGGAACCTTCGGCAAAGACTAATAATCTTTGAAGTAACCGTAGCCGGGATGGGGAAAATGGATAACCAGAAACATTCCACTCCTTGTAGAACGGCTCTTACAAATTCTGCTCTACCCGCATATGACAAAGAAGAAGTCGACCATGCACCAATATAAGTAGAAATTTTATTGGTGAAAGAATCATAAGAACTCACTTTCAGTTTTTCAGCCGCAAGTGGGATGCCCAAATACCGAAATGGCATGGTACCAACTGGAAGATTAGTAAGTGCAAGGATATCCTCCAATTCTTGACCATGAATACCCGCTGTGTAGAGACAAGATTTCCCAACATTTATATTGAGACCCGACATGGCACCAAAAGTTGAAAGACACTTACTTTATTAAGATATCCACCGACATCACATCCCCTCTTGCAAAAAGCATCAAATCATCCGCAAAAGCCAAGTGTGAAATCTTTAGGTGTGCTCATTTAGGATGAAAATTGAAATCACTATCGCTTGTAGCCACATTAACCATTCTAGAGAAGTATTCAAGGCATAGAATAAACAAGTAAGGAGATAACGGGTCACCTTGGCGTAAACCTTTCTTTCCTTTGAAAAACCCATGAAGGTTACCATTAAGAACAATAGAATAAGATGGAGTTGTCACACACTCCACAATCCAACCAACAAAAGTAGCGGGGAACCCCAATCCTTCAATGACTTTTTCAAGGAAATTCCAATTTATGGAATCATAGGCCTCTCTAAGGTCGATTTTGAAAAGGCATCTAGGAGCAATTCTCTTGCGATTGTATTTTCTCAAAAGCTCTTGTGCCAAGTGAATATTCTCAATCATACTCCGTCCCTCCACAAAAGCAGTTTGTGCTTTGTCAACAATGACATCAAGCATAGGCTTCAACCGAGAGGCAAGGATCTTTGTAATGACTTTATAAAAAACATTGCAACAAGCAATTGGCCTATAATCCTCAACAGAAGTAGAATGATTACCCTTTGGTACCAAAGCAATGATAGTGTGATTGGTTTGCTTGAGTAGAGACCCCGTTGCAAAGAATTCTTCAATTGCCTCCAAGAAATCATTTCCAACAATATCCCATGATTTTTTTAAAAAACAAGATGTGTAACCATCCGGACTGGGTGATTTGTCATCCCCAATTCTAAAGAGGGCATCTTTAATATCTTGTCTCGTGATGTCCCGGACAAGCAACATGGCATTTCCCCCCAACAATTTAGGACCGTTACTTAGAATTTCATCATTAAAATGCTGTCCACACCCGCTTTGTCCCAATAATTGACTATAAAAGTGAGTGAATTCCGTCGCCACCTCTTCTTGGGAAGTAGAGTAATTACCATCCCTCTTGATAACTGCCGGAATGAAGTTCCTCTTGGCATTTCTCTTGACCAAAGAGTGGAAATACTTGGTGCATTTATCACTATTCTTCAAATGAACACACTTTGCTTGTTGGTAATAAAAATTCCTTTCCGCTTCACATAGCATAGTAGCTTCCTTCCTCAATCTAGCAACCTCAGACTTTAGTTGAAGATTTATCTGATCATTATGTAATTCAACTTGTGCCAGTTCCAACTTTTTAGTAGCATAATCAGCCCTAGAGGAAATGTGAGCAAAGTGCTTGTCGTTGAGTTTTTTTAGCACCCCTTTAAGACTCTGTAATTTCTTACAAAGTGAGAATTGTTTAGAACCAAAAGAAACTTGATTCCAACCATTTGATACCACATCATGAAAGTCCTCATGGCATGTCCACATGTTAAAAAATTTAAATGGCCTTTTCTTCCTTTCAACTTCCCCAAAAATTGACACAATGCAAGGTGAGTGCTCGGAGAGGCAACCCGATGGAAGGAAGTTTGCAAAACTGTCATAACTCTCAAGCATCCAATTTCCATTTACCATGGCTCTATCAATTTTGCTCCAAACAGAATTATTGTTCCCAATGTAGAAACAACCAATTGACCGCATATCCGTAAGTCCAACATTTTGGCAACACATTTCAAAATCTTTAATCTCATACGGAGTGACATCCGCCCCATTACTTTTCTCATCAAAATTGAGCACATTGTTAAAATCCCCTAAAGCCAACCATGGCAAGGTGCAATTGAGACCAAATTCCTCAATATTATCCCAAAGAGGCCTGCGGTTCACAATAGTATGGAATGCATAAACAAAACTAACAAGGAAGGTGCGTGAAGTTACCTTGCAAGTAATTGAGCAATGGATAACTTGTGCCGTAGTGTCCAAGACTTCCAATTCAGCCTTCAAGGAATTCCACAAAACCAAAATACGACCCGCTTTATGATGGCGAAAGTTGTTAGCAGAGGATAGACCACCAAATTTATTCCTCATAATACGGGATAACTTAAAATCATTCAATTTTGTTTCCAAGATGCCCATAACATCAATCTCATGTCGTCGCATGAATTCTTTAACCCCATTTTGTTTGAGGGGCGGGTTAAAGCCCCTAATATTCCACGAGCCAATCTTCATGATGATGAAGCAAGGGAAATACCCTTCTTCTTTTCAGATAATTTCCTCGCTCTCCTGACCTCGTCGGCTATATCTTTTAATTTTTCATTGGTTACATTTTTGGAGAAAGACCCTGTCATGGTAGATGAAGAATCTGCCTTCAAATTTCTCATATGACAGCCTTGAATTGTAGACACTTGGGGCCGGTGAACATGTGTCGAATTTTTCCGACGACCAGCTTCATTTTTCCTGTTGACAACCTCAATAAAAGGGCCATCTGCCTGTACTTCAGCTTGTGTTTCCTGCCCGTCCACACCATCATTATTTGGCTGTAGAGTAGGCTGCCCTTGTAGTCGGTTGAGTTCCCTATTCTGTCCATCAACATTTTCAGCTGATTTTTCACAGGATTCTGAACCTGTCTCAGCCGGTGGTTGCTGGAAATTTGAACAATTCCCAGCCTGAGTATTCTGCCCTTTTCCAGCCAGCTCACTGGATTTTGAAGTCTCACCACCTGCGGTATTTTTGTTATACTTGCAACCAAGAGAGGAATGCCCAAAGACTTTGCAAGAACCACAAAATTTAGGTTCATGTTCAAAAAGAATATCTTGCTCCCTCAAAGATCCATTTGGGAGCCTAATCTTCACCACCCTCACAAGTTCAATAGATGCGTCGACTTCAACTAGTGCTCTTGCGTAGGATAGTCTACCTCTACTTGCCGTGACCTTATCGGTCGAAATGGGTTTACCTACTTTGGAGACAATTTTTCCCAATGCATTCGTGTTCCAAAATTCCAAAGGTAATCCCGGCAAGTTGATCCAAACCGGCATCGTGCTCACATCTTTATCATTAAAATCAAAGTACCGAGGCATAACCTTTAGAATTAATGGTCTACCATACACCAAATGAGGGCCTCCATGCAAGACACTAAGCCTATCCACATCCGTTTCAAATTTAAAGACAAGCCACCCACTCGAGTGAACAAAATATTTGTAATTCACCTTCCATGAATCACACATATGGAGTAATGCAACTTTCCCCGGAAACCTACCGGCAAAATATCCAACGAGGCCATATCCCCAAGAATTCTCGATGTTATCTTCATCCAAGTCACCCAAAACGACTTCATCCGATTGGTTATGGAAAGGCTTCAATTTAATATTATCTTCCATTTTCCGATTGTCTTTAAAAAGGTTAACCCAAGGGGCTTTATTGTCTTTCCCATCCCCAATTCCAGCACCATTTACAGTTTTATTTTCCTTCGAAACCACCATATTTGATTCAAAATCAGAGTTTTCTGATTCCGTATCGTTTGCCCCTAATGTCAATGATACACTAGGTGAAGGCAAGATTACCTTATTATTCTCCATTAAGTTGGACTTCAAGGAGGTGTCAATACCTCCTGCAAGAACATCCTGCCTGACTGCCAGAGGTAAAGGGGGGGCCGGCCCAGAATAAGAAGAAGATGGAACTCTTTTTTTCTTACCCATTAAAGATCTGAAAGTAAGAGGCCCAAATGGCCGAGAGCCCACAAGAGAGGGACAGAGGCCCAAAGGGAAAAGCCCACAGAACTGGGTCAGGAGACCAAGAGAAAACCAAAGAAAGAGAAACCAGCTGCCAACAGCCTGTAAAAGACAGAAAACCCAGAAGAATAGATAGGAAAATGCACAAGTCTGCAGAGAAAAGCCACCAACCACTGTCCCACGTCAGGGGACAGAAAAGAGCTGGAAAACCCAGAAAAGAAGATTCAAAAATCTGTCAACTAGGGAAAGACATACAGAATACATGCACCATTACATAAAACCAAGGAGAAGCCAAGGAGATAGAAGACCAAGAAGCCTCACCAAGCTGGCCAGAAGAACAACCAAAAACCAGCAAAGGAAGAAAACCAGAAAGCAATCAGAAGCACCCAGGGAGAAAACCAGGAACGTCCAAAAGGTAGGAACCAATGAACCCCGAGTCTGACCTCAAATCGCCTGAAGAACCAGAGCTGGAACCAGAAAACCAGCACCGCAACAAAATCCAAAAACTTGAACGTGAACAATACCTTGAGACAAAGATGGCCAAGAAATCGGAAATTGCCACAGAACTTTGAATAAATTGAAGCTGTAAGGTGGTGAGTGAAGAACCAGTCACAAAACTGACCGAAAACACTGAGTACAAATGACTCTCCAAGAGCTCAAAATCGAGCAAATCAAACAGAAATGAACAAACTATAATTCGATTTTCACTAAGTAGAAGTAAAAATCAAACCAAAGCACAAGGAAAATCTAAAGAAATCAAGTCAAGGCATTCAAGTGAAACTTTCTCTCACTAGAATTTGAGAGCATCTCTCTCTAACCTTTTTTTTATCCTAATCATTAAATAGATTTGAAGCTTCAAAGAAACTCTTTTCCGGGGATAATATATCCTTCATTGCAATAGAGACGCTCCATGCATTGCCACCATTGATTTACCTTCCCATCTAAGTGATAGACTATATAGGATACTTTTTGAGCCTCCATATTTTTGTGTCCTGCAAAATAATGAGTTGCATTATGTAGAGACACTGCTAGATTATTTCTCGAAATGCAAGGAAAGTGAATGGCTCCCTGTTGCACATCCTTGCAGTCTTCCTCTCCCTTTTTAAAATCGTTGAATGATGGAGGAATGGTGGTAACCTTGCTGGCAGAAGTTAGATCTCTTCTCACATGGAAAGGATGATATAAAAAATGCTTTCAGCTCGGAAACCAAAATAAGAACCTCTTGCAATTTCTCAAAGAGATTGGTGTTTGATGTCATGGCTTTGATACCAAATGATAGGTCCCAGTCAGAATAGAGACACAAACAAATAGATTTAAATAGATAATACTTCCTTTTGGGTTGGAAGGAAACCACATACAAACCAAATAATAATTTTCTTCACACTCCAATAGCTAATACAAAACTATATATATATATATATATATATATATATATATATATATATGGCAACTTAGTGGCTATTAACCACTAACAAACCCGAAATTTTCGGGTATTTAATAAGTGGAACCGTTGGGTCCAAATTTAATTACGGAACTGTTCGGGTTCGTTCCGTTCGGTTCGGTTTCATTCGGTTCCGTATTATAATTAAATTTTTTAATATATACATAGTTACGTTAATTTAATTAATGATATGTTCAATATTAGCTCTTACAAAATAACGTAGTTCAATCTTATGTGTTTCATGTCCCTCTTTGTTGAATTCTTCATAAATTTGATTACTAAAATCACAGAAAGAAAAAGATAGCGAACTCAAAATAATTAAGAGAGATGTTGTAGAGCTTTAGTTTGATTTTCTTTTGTAGAAATGACACTACAGTAGAATAACAGATTTGGATAAAATTGAGGTCAATTTGATTAAGTTGATTTTGAACTGAAAATTAGAAATAAGAAATCATATTTTGTGATTTGAACTAAATTAATTAGTTAACAAATTTATTTAGAAAAAATAAAATAATTTTACTTATTTAAAATAAATTAATTAAACAAATTACGGAGATTCAACTTTTATTCGATTTTTCGGGTCTTGGCCTAGAATCGAGAATCGAACTATACCCGTCGGTTCTTGATTCAAATACCCATTCGGGTATTTAATTTGAGAAGAATCGTCGGGTTTGGTTGGTTCAGTTCGGTTCAGGAGCTTTGTCCAGCCCTAGTCTTAGGAGTTTTCTGCTTTGGCAGTCAATAATTAAGTGAAGGTTAGGAAATTAATTTTGTAGGGTATAGATCAGTTACAGAACAATTAAATGGAAAAAAAATTCGTCATCTTATGGATGCACTCGAAGGAAAGGAACACACAATTTTTTAACAAATTTTGGTTTATTGGCTGCCCACATTTTGGACGCTAAAGATGCTTTTGTTGGAACGCAGAAGCAAAATTACCCAAAATTTTTAAAAAAAATTAATTAATTCAATAAATAAGATTGTCTAGATATTTATGTGTACATTATATCAAGATTAAAAGATTCGAGAATTTTGAGTCAAGAACTTTCAACTTTTTGGATGACGAGCTTCCAACCTTTAATTGCAAAAGCTTGATGTTTCAAACCTCCAAATCTTTTATGGTATTCTTCAAAGTCGGGACTACATTGGTGGGTGTGCACTTTCTTTTAATTAAATCAAGAAACTAATTCTTAAATTTAGCCGACAGTCTCTAATAAACGAGTCTACAAGGTCATCCAGTAATCAATAGTCTCCTAGTAAACAAGTGATCATATGCACTTTAATTCGCATGTTCAATAAATAAATGAATACAATCATAATTTATTTATTATAATTATTATTTTATCATATAAAATATACTATATAGGCACGTAACCCAAAAAATTTCCAACCTACCCTAAAATATACGTGTCATGTCTTCCATATGTCCCTCGAAAATCTTAGCCGACAGTCTCCTAGTAAACAACTCTATAAGATCATCTAGTAGCAATCTTACTAACAATCACAGTTTCTTTACCAACCATCTTTCTTCAAAGATGATATTTTTGTTCAAATGTGTTTACTTTATGATGATTCTTGATTCTTTAGCATTTGCTACAGTCCCACTGTTATCCCAATACAATGTAAACGACTGTGCAAATGTAGGCACTAAGTTCGTCAAGATTTTCTGATCATACAACAAATTTAGTAGCTTCATAAGCTCCTAAATTCTTAGCATCAATAGTGGAATAAGCAATGCTTGATTGTTTGATACTTCTCCTATTAATGGTCCCGTCATCAAGTATAAACAATGATACTGATGTAGACTTGCAATAGTCTTCATCACTCCGAAAGTCTAAATCCTTTTAACCCATTAGAACAAGATATAGTGATGAGCATATTATTCTCCATTCTTTGAAGGTACAAAATGAAAGGTAAGAATAGCTATCTAAGAGGAAGGTGAAATGGTTATTTAAATACTTTTTCGAAAATAATCACAATCTTAAACAAATGGCAGATCAATTAATTCACGAGTAAGATAGCACAAAAAAGAAAGTATTAAGTAAAAGGAAAGGAATGTGTAAACGTTATTATGGAGGTTCGATCCAGTCAACGATCTACGTCTTCCTTTACCAAATTCTTTGTCATAAGTAAAGCCTGTTTCGCTACTGTTCAATGACTTATGGTGTAATCTAACCCTTACAACGCTTCCAGTGACTTATAAACAAGGAGCATTGATCCTTTTACAACATTGAAATTTTCAGGACTTCAGCATGACCCAAGATCAAACAAGAAAAATGATATTACAAGTAAAAGTTTATCTCTTAATAAATCATATGATCACAATTAAGTATCAAGAGAGAAAAAGGCTAACACTTTAATAAATAGCAAATGGTATAGCTCAACTGTTAGTTGAAAAACTTTGACCAGATAATTGATTTTCATGAAGTTGACCACATAAAAGTTTTTCAAAAAATAAATATTTTGATCTTCTAAAGAACGAAAAACAAGATGGTTGAGATCAATAAAAGCCTTACTTAAGTACTCAAAGAAAGTTCATGCAAATAAGGAAGTGAAGTGGTAATTATAGCACTCAAGCGGTAAAAAATCTGTCCATCTGGACGCGTGATTCAGATGTCCGGTTGGGGTTTGGATAGCTTAAAAACTAGCCACTTGAGTCAGAGGCAACACAGTAAAAAAAGGTTACAGTTGGACATTCGGACGTCCGGATGGACAGAAATGCCCTTGAACGTTTTTCCTTCATGATGAATTTGATCAATGTAGGTCTTGAAGGATTTTCTCACTTATTTTGTAAAGATAAGTGTTTTTGTAAATATTTGATTGTCGCATCGAAGTATGTACCTTTTAAAATTATTTATATGCAAATATATTTTTGTGATGTGAATTTGTTCTCGTGCATAAAAATTCTTCTGAGCTATAGCAGATACCAGAAATTGAAAGTGTTTTACCTTTACATATGATTTTAAAGCATCTATATCTAATGTCTTGAAGTTTGATGATCAATCTTTTTTTCCAGAGTGATTGTGACATGAAAGCTCGATTTTCTTCTCTATGTTTGTCAATCACTAATTTTGTTGCCATGTTGATTGTTAGGCACCAATTTCACTTGTCAATGTGCACATATCTTGGTCTTGATTTTCATATCTTTGCTTTTGTTGATTTTGCAATAATCACTATCAACTCTCGAATTCAATTTTTTTAGAAATAAATGCAGTTTGTTTGTCATAATCAAAACGAGAAGTCAACCATTTAGGTAAACTATTTCCCCCTTTTTCAGGATGATTTACAATACAAACATTAAACAAATTGATGAGGCGCAAATTGACAAGGAATATAAATTTTGATTCCCCCTATCATTCTTACTTATATTCCCCCTATCAACATGCATATAAAATTTTATAGGTTTTCCCCTTACAATGTTCCCCATATCTTGCACAATCATCTACCTATCTTCCCCCTTTTGGCATAAACAAAAAAAAAAAAAATCAATATCATGAATTAAATGTGCAAGGAAGTCAACCATGGGATAATAAGCAATAATACTTTCATATCATGCATAGAAATAACTTGAAAGTGCGACAAAAATATTTTGATTGTGAAAATAGGAAAAACATTTTGGCAAATGAAAATACGATAATTGAAAGTAAACTAAGGCGCTGGAAGTAGTGTGGTGATGGGAAGCGAGCATAGAAGTCGACGAAAAATGCATTTTGTTGTACTTGCATCTCAGCTTGTTGGTCGTGGATAGCAATTTGTTGAGCTTGAAGCTAATGAAATAGGCTACCAAGGCTATCGACAAAGGAGGTAATGAATCGATGCGCTCATAAAGGAGATTATATTGCTCCTCAGTGAATGCAAAATGGCCTCTGAAGGAAGATGTGCATTGGAGCTGGAAATGTCAAAAGTGAGAGCTAGTGCTTCAGGATGGTCTTTGAGCTCATCTTTGGCTTCATCTGCGAAAGCTAAAGTAGAAGGATCGGAGGTAGGGTCGAATGCTTTGTGTGCACAACCCATTGCCTGTGTACTTTGACAATCTTCATCCATTTAAGGGTTTGGATGTTGATAGTATTCGTAGGGCAGAATCTTATAAAGCTTCTCCTTCGAGAGAAACGTGAAAATGTTAGAAAATTTTAGTAAGAAGAATCTCGTATGGAAAAGTTTTTATGTGTAGTGAAAAATGCACAATTTTATAAGTCCCAATGCAATGACAGGAAAATCAAGTTTGCACTCGACCAAAAGTAAATCTAAAATGAAAAGATTGAAGTGATCAACTTCCTCTCGATGGCCCTTTCGGGGAAAAATCACATTGGCGATAATGTTTTATAAAACTTTGCAAAGAAGACTTAATTGATTAGCACTCAATTTGGTAATATTCTCA